AAAAAATAAAGAAATAATACAGTGTTTTTTGCATGTACAGTAAAAGACAGCATGAACTACTGAAAAGAACTCCTGGGAGTATATAGTGGCATAGCTCTAAATCCAATTTTAAAAATCTTAATTTAATCCTAACCTAAAAATAAGTAGAACATCAGAAGTGTACCTTTCCATAGCATGAATAGGTTCATAAAATGTAGATTTCTCCATATTTACTGCCATTTTCTTTTTAAAACTTGGGGTATGATCTTTTGGGGAAAGATTTGGCCATAAATATTAATAAAATTCACACTTGAGAAGAAAATATTTTAAAATAACATTTTGATGGAAATGACTTCCTAATAACATGAATCCCCCAAAGTACCTAGGGCTTTTTAAATATTTAGCGTGATAAAAAGGAACTCCACAAAATTATATCTTCACTAAATAGAACACAGTCATTTAGTTTCTATTCTTCCTAATACAAAATAGCAGGTTAATATGTACTTTTTGTTTTTCTGTTTTGTTGGTTTTCAATTGCTTATGTCTTGCCCTTTATGAAAGCCTGTGGCTTTCAGTAATGAGCAGGGCAATCTGGCTGAAAAAAATAGAAGTACAATCAAGTACAAGCACTTATTCAAAGTAGTAAGCTATTAAAGAAAGAAATAAGTTTATTAAAAGAAAAAATCCCAATCAATAAATTGGATGAATGTAAATTGAAACACATAGCTCTGCAGAAGGAGCTGAGAACTGTTTAGGGTGAACCAACTGATACTATTGTTAAATCCATTTACTGTTTTATGGATTATATATATCTGATCATTTTTGGTTCCATTTGGTTTGGAACTCTTCTATAACATGATGTCCTATAAAATAGATTTAAGGATTGAATATGTCTCAAAATAACATCTTTATCAGAATCATCTTGGGGACCCCCACTGTGAATCTACTAAATCTGTATTTCTGGAGACAAACCTGAGAATTTGCAATTTGACCCACTTTCCAAGTGATTCTTACATATCTTGAAAATTGCTATAGTAGCTGTGTTTGAGTGTAGTTCCATTGCTTTTGTAATAATGGCTTTTTTGCCTAAAGACCTATTCTTTCCAAGACCCAATTAAAAGCAAAATTTCTGGAATTTTTTAAAGACAGAGCTGGTTCTTTCCTCCTCTGTAACCCTAGCTCTGTGATCCTGCCTTTATTAGAGTAACAGTGGGTATTCTAAAAGTCTTAGTGCAGATTCAAATTTTAATAACTTCCCATGTACAAATATGCTACAAACATCAAATTGAATAAATCATATCAATTTATTTTTTAAATTGGTTTGTTTATATCAAATAGTAAGTTTTTAATTTTAACATTTGGATGTGACAGTTTTTTAGACTGCTGGAAAAACTCAGCCACCTCAGTCAACTGATGTATCTCCCTTAGACTTTGTCTAATGGGGTCATGTCAAAATTTTCAAGTATGCATTAGCACTTCATTCTTTCAGTAATGGTAAGGTTAGGATTACAAATGCAGTCTTTTTGTTACTGAGGGCCAGCAGCTGATGAACGTTTTTCCAAAGCTTGAAATTTGACTTGAGTCATGTATGGCACAGCACAGTGGCCATGTTGAATTTTAATGAAAAATTAACCCAACAAACAAGCAAGCAAAATACAACCAGAGACATTGAAACTAAGAACAAACTGACAGTAATCAGAGAGGAGGGGGGATGGGGATAACAGGAGGAGGGGGACACAGCCAAAGGAGAATAACATGGAGAGTGGGAGGTGGGGGTGGGTTGGGCGGGGGGGGGGTAGTGGTGGGGAGGAAATGAAGACAACTGTACTTGAACAACAATAAAAAAATACAAATAAACATTTTTTAAATTTAAATAATTGACCCTTCACATGTTGATTTGTATACTTTTGTGGCATTTCTAAAGTTATTAAAACTTAAAACTGCATGAAGACTTTGAAATTCTACGTATTTAAACTTATTTGTGTCAACATTTATCTCCTTAAACTTCTCTTCCCTAGGTAAGGGGCCATGTTTTATTGCATCCTTAGCACAGTTGATAAATATTTGTTGAATTAAGAATAAAATTCATCCATTATATATTGTCCAATTCATTCAATATAGTCAATATTACTAAACTATTTATTTGGACCTATTTCATATATTTAAAATTTAGCATCATATTAATATCTTTAACATTTAATAATATTTACTATTTCATCCATTCCAGTTATCCTTTTAGATGCTCAAATTGCTCTATCTTTGACCAGTGAGAATTTCTTTATATTGACTTCTCAGTCCTACTCACACAATCCTCATAGTCTTTAATAACTTCTTTCTATCTTGTGCACAATATAATCCAAGCTCATCTTGTACATTTCCTATACCAGATCTGGAATCAGCCATTTTCCAAGAAGGCCTGGGAAATGGCAAATAAGGTTAATTTATTACTAGATTAATCATTGTTTTTATGCCTTTTCAGTAGGCAGAACTAAGAAAAACAGACGTATGTATATACATACATAAGACATCAAGAGACTAAGGTTTTTACTTCTTTTTTTTTAAGATTTATTTATTTATCTTCAGAGGGGAAGGGAAGGAGAGAAGGATAGAAATATCAGTGTATGGTTGCCTCTTGTGCATACCCCACTGGGAACTGGCCTGCAACCCAAGCACGTGCCCTGACTGGGGATCAAACCACGATACTCTGGTTCATAGGCCCGTGCTCATAAGGTTTTTACTTCTTATATATGAGTCTGCTTTCTCCCATGCTAAAATTACTTACCAATGATAGCAAGAGTGATAAAATGATAGTATCACATAATCGTTCATTTGCTTCATCTTATAAAATACAACACTTTTAACAAAACAACAGAATAACACCACTACTACCAATAAACTATACGATTGCTGAAAATAGCATAATATTTTGTTACACAGTTCTTTTGGTTATATTATGCTAGAGATGTGCAAGTAAAGTATTATATTTTAAAGAGACTTGAGCCTTAGCTGGTATGGCTCAGTGGACTGAGCATGGACTTCAATCCAGAGGGTCGCCAGTTCCATTCCCAGTCAGGGCACATGCCTGGGATGCTGGCCAGGTCCCTAGTTGGGGGTGTGCTAGAGGCAACCACACACTGATGTTTCTGTTTCTCTCTTCCTCCCTCCCCTCCCCTTTCTCTAGAAATCAATAAATTAATTAAATCTTTTAAAAATTAAGAGACTTGAAATATTCTGTTGTGAGCATTATATCACTAGCAGGATATACATTTAGAGCATATTTACTTTTTTCCTTGAGAATCCCTTTGAAGTTTAAACATTTACTCATATTCTCCAATTCTAAGAAGGAAGGTAAATAATGAAACTTGCATCCATTACAGCTGTAGCAAGCTGTAAAGAAAGCATAGGGAAACTGGACACCTGCCCAGCTTTTTCCAAATTATCTCCTCTTGATGTAATTTTGTTTGAAGTTAATTTTTTTAAAATTAGACCCTTCAAATTCAGATGGCAGTGAAAATGCACTTTACAAATATAACTTTTATCTACATCTTGGCTCAACTATACATAATTCATACTTAATTATTAAGAGTTGACTTTATGTAGGAATATAGACATAGATATGACTATATTTGTAACAAACTTCTTCTTTGGCACAGGAGCCCTCAGTATAGCAAGACCCAGTCCTTAAGTATTTTTATTAGTTTGTGAAATGAATCAGACCTAAATTAAACTTTAAAAATTCTGCCCTTGATAAGAATATGTACATCTTCTGACACGGTATTGTGGTGAAATGGCATTATGAAAAACTATGCTAAGCAAGATTCCTTTTTGTTAGAATTAAGTTCAGGGAAAAGTGAAAAAAGACTGTTATTCCTTGAAATACGCAGTATGGTGGAATATGGATATTTTTTCAAAATGATATAGCCAAATATAATTAATTAATTTTATTTTGAAGTAAAAATAATTAGTTTAAATTTTTTCAGATGCAGAGCAATACTTCATAGTTAAAATGTATATTTATTATTACTGTATGCCAGATACTGTGCTAAGCCATTTATCTCATTTTCTCATTTAATCCTCACAACTCCTTGACTAGATTTCATAAATTCCCATTTCATAAATTCCTTGAGAAAACTGAACCATAGGAATGCAAACCTTCTAAGCAAAGATCACTCTGCTACATTACAGCTTATTATAAGTGTAGCAATTGAAAGTAAAGAGACAATGGTGATTTTGTAAAAATAATTTTAAAAATAATTTCAGGGACTCAAATGTAGGCAAGAACAATAAACTTGGTGTTTATTTGCAGCATGTACCGATTTTCAATGCATAATGTAAAGCATATTTAATATCTTATAATAATTAAAATATAAAAGTATTTTTGATATTTTAATATAACTATTGAAATAAATATTAGTGTTTCTCTTAATGTCCCAATCTATAATGAATTATCATATTAAATGTTGGAAATGTTTCAACAAAAATACATTTATCACATGTAAAACTTTAGATAGAATGGTTAAAAAAATTTTCCAATGTTTGTTTTTACACTTATTTAATAAAAATTGTCATTTTTTATGTGTTTAAAATGGGGGAAAGAAGGGGAAGGGACAAGTCAAGGGACATGTATAAAGGACCCATGGATGTGGACAACAGGGTGGGGATTGGCTTTGGGAGCTGGGGCGGGGGTAGGCAGGGCAGGGGAGAGCAGTAGGGGAAAATTGGTACAACTGTAATTGAAAAACAATAAAGAAGAATAAAGGCATTATATTCAGAAAAAATAAATAAAATTAGTTAAAATAGAAAACACGTTTAAGCAAAAATGAGAATAATGGTCATGTAACTGACCATTAGAGTAACCATTATGCATATGTTGCCATATAGTATTCCAGATTTTTTTCTCAGTATTGCTGCTTCTGTTTCAATTGTCAAGACTTTTTCAAATTGTAGTACAATTCTTAAGCAGGTATTTAGGATGAATGCTTGATTTTTCTCAAAACTAATGTCTGTGCTTATTTTTTTAGGATTGTACTGTATATGAAACTGAGAATAAAATTCTTCATGTGGTAAGTATACTTGGATTTATTTTCATCTTCTTTGGAAAATGTCTTTCTTTAACTAATAATTACTGAAAAGCTATAGCTTATAAAAAAGTGAGCCCTGTATATTTCGTAGAAGTACAAAAGAATCAAAACAAGTTATATTAGTTATAATCATTCTATTACATCAGAATAAACATATAATACAATATTTAAGATTGTAAGATGTAGCATGGTTGAAATAGAGTAAAATTAAGAATCTAGAGAAAAGAGAATTTGAAATCAAAATTCTTCATGGTTGATTTATGACAAGAGATCGAAGGAAAGTATTTGGTTGTATAACAAGGGTAATTCCCCTCTATCATCATTTGGGAGAAATAACTCATAAAACAATCAAACTGCCTTTGCTCTGATTCTATCCTCACAAAACAAGCTTCCAAATTTTAATTTGGCAATATTTGTTTAATCAATTAATGACTGCAGATATTTTATTACCAGCAATGGAGTAAAAGTACATTATACTTTGTAGAAAGGCATATTCTTTCTTGTTAATGAACATTTGTCTGATTTTCTTTGTAAATCCATTTCTTAGCTATTGCTCATCTGCCCTAATAAGTATTTCACCTCTATTAGAAATGAAAAAAATAGAAATGAGTGTAAGCATATATAATAACACTAAAGAAGTTTAGAAATGAATGCAATATATTTATATTGGCACTTTTGCATTCCAGCTAGTGGTAATTGAAAGATTCTCTTTGATCATGATCAAGACAGTGTATGGCATTAACCAGCCAATTCAGCTCAGAAAGTACTTGTATTTTCATTTCATTTCACTTGTTGGCCTTTTTATGTAATGGTGATCCAGCCTTCATTAGGAGGTTGTACACTTTTGTGTTACTCTTCTCACAATAAAAATTAATATTTTTTAAATAATAAAATAGTATACTATACCATTTGGTATATAATTCTGGAATACTTCCTTTAAAATAAAATTTTCAAAAAATATGCTTTTAGATTTTCTGTAGTATAAAAGAAATCACTTAGAATCTTAAGAACTATATCAAAATCCTAGTTTACCACATTCTATCTTAGCAACCTTAGTAAAGTGATTTAACTTTCTGAGATTTTTGTCCTTTTTAAGTATATTTTATTGATTATGCCATTACAGTTGTCCCAATTTTTCCCTCTTTGCCCCCCTCCACCTAGTACACCCCTTTCGTCCAGCAGTCCCCCCTTTAATTCATGTCCATGGGCTGTGCATATAAGTTCTTTGGCTTCTCTACTTCCTATACGATTCTTAACATCCCCCTGTCTATTTTGTACCTACCAATTATGCTTCTTGTTCACTGTACCTTTTCACCCATTCTCTCCCTTTCCCCTGCCAGCTGATAATCCTCCAAATGATCTCCATATCTATGATTCTGTTCTTGTTTTGGTTTTTTGCTTGGTGCATATGTGTGTGTGTGTGTGTGTGTGTGTGTGTGTGTGTGTGTTTAGATTCCATTGTTGACAATTGTAAATTTATTGCCTTTTTAATGTCCATGGTTTTTATCTTCTTTTTCCTTAAATAAGTCCCTTTGACATCATTTTGGTGATGATTAACTCCTTTGGCTTTACGTTCTTTCAGAATCACTTTATCTGCCCTTCCATTCTAAATGACAGCTTTCCAGGGTAGAGTAATCTTGGATGTAGGTCCTTGCCTTTCATGATTTGGAATACTTCTTGCCAGTCCCATCTTGCCTGCATTAAGTTTCTTTTGAGAAATCAGCTGATAGTCTTTGGGAACTCTTTTGTGGGTAACTGTCTGCTTTTCTCTTATTGCTTTTTTAAATTATTTTTTATTTTATTTTAATTAATTTTATTTAGTTATTTTTCAAGTACAGTTTTTTTGTCTATTTCTCCCATCTCAGCCTCCCCCACCCCTTGCTCCCCACCTCCCTCCCATTTCCACCCCTAGTTCTCGTCCCTGTGTCCTTCCTATTTGTTCCTCCAAATCCCTCCCCCTTTTTCCCCTTAACTTCCCTTCTCTCTCGCCTCTGGTCACTGTCCCCTTGTTCTCTATTTCAGTGTATTTGGTTTGGTTTTGTTTTTTTTTCTGCTTCCTTGTTTGTTTTGTTGTTTAGCTTCCTGTTAAAGGTGAGATCATATATTTGTCATTCAGCACCTGGCCTATATCACTCAGCATAATGCTTTCCAGTCCCATCCATGTTGTTGCAAAAGGTAGTAGCTCCTTCTTTCTCTCTGCTGCATAGAATTCCATTGTGTATATGTGCCACAATTTTTTGATCCATTCATTTACTGACGGGCACCTAAGTTGCTTCCATCTCTTGGCTATTGTAAATTGTGCTGCTATGTACATTGTGGTGCATAGGTTCTTTGATATTGATGTTTTAGGATTCTTAGGATATAATCCTAGCAGTGGAATGGCTGGGTCAAAAGGCAGGTCGATTTTTATTTTTCTGAGAAAATTCCATACTGTTTTCCATAATGGTTGTACCAGTATGCAATCCCACCAACAGTGAACTAAGGACCCCTTTTCCCCACACCCTCTGCAACCTTTGTTGTTTCTTGCTTTGTTTATGATAGCCATCCTGACTGGTGTAAAGTGGAATCTCATTGTGGTTTTAATTTGCATCTCTCTGATAGCTAACGATATTGAGCATCTCTTCATGTGTCTCTGGATGTTCTGTATGTCCTCTTTAGAGAAGTGTCTGTTCAAGTCCTTTTCCCATTTTCTTAATTGGGTTCGATGTCTTCCTAGAGTGGAGTTGTGTAAGTTCTTTGTATATTTTGGAGATTAAACCTTTGTCTGAGGTATCATTGGCAAATATGTTTTCCCATACAGTTGGTTGTGTTTTTAATTTAACACTGTTTTCTTTAGCCATGCAGAAGCTTTTTATTTTGATGAGATCCCATTTGTTTATTCTTTCCTTTATATTCCTTGCTCTAGGGGACATATCCGTAAAAATGTTGCTGCGTGGAATATCTGAGATTTTCTTGCCAATGTTCTCCTCTAGGACTTTAATGGTGTCACGGCTTATATTTAAGTCTTTTATCCACCTTGAATTTATTTTGGTGTATGGTGTAAGTGTGTGCTCAAGATTCATTTTTTTGCACGTAGCTGTCCAGTTCTCCCAACACCATTTGCTCAAGAGGCTATCTTTACTCCATTTTATGTTACTGCCCCCTTGTCAAATATTAATTGACTGTAGAGAGTTGGGTTGATTTCTGGGCTCTCTGTTCTGTTCCATTGGTCTATGTGCCTGTTTTTATGCCAGTACCAGGCTGTTTTGATTACAGTGGCTTTGTAATACAGTTTCATATCAGGTATTGTGATCCCTCCTACTTTGTTCTTCTTTCTCAAAAGAGCAGCTGCTATTTGGGCTCGCTTATGATTCCATATAAATTTTTTAAGTGTTTGTTCTATGTCTGTGAAATACGCCATTGGTACTTTAATAGGTATTGCATTGAATCTGTATATTGCTTTGAGTAGTATGGACATTTTGATGATGTTAATTCTTCCAATCCATGAACAAGGTATATGTTTCCATTTGTTTGTGTCTTCCCTGATTTCTTTCTTCAGTGCTGTGTAGTTTTCTGCATACAGGTCTTTTACCTCCTTGGTTAGGTTTATTCCCAGATATTTTATTTTTCTTTCTGCTATATCGAATGGGATTTTATCCTTGATTTCTGCTTCTGCTGATTCATTGTTTGTATACAAAAATGCCTTTGATTTCTGGATATTGACTTTGTAACCAGCTGTTTTGCCAAATTCATTAATTAGTTTGAGCAGTTTTTGGGTAGAGTCTATAGGATTTTCCATGTACACTATCATGTCATCTGCAAACAGTGACAGTTTTGCTTCCTCTTTTCCTATTTGGATGCCTTTTATTTCCTTTTCCTGCCTGATTGCTGTGGCTAAAACTTCCAATACTATATTGAATAGAAGTGGTGAAAGTGGACATCCTTGTCTTGTTCCTGTTCTTAGTGGAAAAGCTTTTAGTTTTTGCCCATTGAGTATGATGTTGGCTGTAGGTCTCTCATATATGGCCTTTATTATATTGAGGAATGCTCCCTCTATTCCCACTTTGCTGAGTGTTTTTATCATAAACAAGTGTTGTACCTTGTCAAAAGCTTTTTCCGCATCTATTGATATGATCATGCGGATTTTGTCTTTGCTTTTGTCTATGTGATGTATTACATTTACTGATTTGTGAATGTTGAACCATCCTTGCATCCCTGGGATGAAACCCACTTTGTCATGGTGTATGATCTTTCTGATATATTGTTGGATGCGATTTGCCAATATTTTGTTGAGGATTTTAGTGTCTATGTTCATCAGCGATATTGGCCTGAAGTTTTCTTTCTTTGTTGTGTCTCTATCTGGTTTTGGAATTAAGATGATGCTGGCTTCATAAAAAGAATTTGGGAGTTTTCCATCCTTCTGGATTGTTTGGAATAGTCTGTGGAGAATAGGGGTTAGCTCTTCTTTAAATGCTTTGTAGAATTCTCCTGTGAAACCATCTGGTCCAGGGCTTTTGTGTGATGGGAGTTTTTTGATTACTGCTTCAATTTCTTTTGCTGTTATTGGTGTATTTAGATTTTCTGCTTCTTTTTCACTGAGTTTTGGAAGATTGTATTTTTCTAGAAATGTGTTCATTTCCCCTAGGTTTTCAACATTCTTGGCATACAGTTCCTCATTGTAATTTCTTACAATCTCTTCTATTTCTGTGGTATCGGTTGTAATCTCTCCTCTTTCATTTCTAATTGTGTTTGAGTCCTCTCTCTTCTTTTCTTGATGAGCCTACTTAAAGTCTTGTCTATTTTGTTTATCTTCTCAAAGAACCAAATCCTGGATTCATTGATCCTTAGAATTGTGCTTTTAGTTTCTATGTCATTTAATTCTGCTCTAATCTTGGTTATTTCCTTCCTTCTGCTTGCTCTGGGCTGTCTTTCTTGTTGTTCCTCGAGTTCTTGCAGGCGCAGGGTTAGGTTGTTTGTTTGAAATGTTTCTATCTTCTTTAGGT